TCAGACGTCTCAACAAATGTCAATAGCAATTACAAAACCAGTGGAACTGGTTCTGAACAGTCTGACTACTGTACACTCACTGAGGTATCTGTCTCTGACCACACATTCTTGTACCATGCTTGGTTTTGTGTGGCACTGTCTGAACTATAGTTTGTTTTCTCAGCTCAGAAGGGATCACAGCACAATGTCTGATGTTTTGTTTGGAAGAAATCTGAGACTTAAGGTGGCTTTAACATTGTGGAGGAGAAATGTTGGGGAACTGTTGACATATTTTCTAAAGTATGTACTGAAGTTTTGTTTTCACTCCTGCAAAATTTCAGTGTACGCTTACATCATTTTCTTTTTACAGAATCCAGGACACTGGTGTGATTGTTGATTTTCTGCCAATTATTTGCAAGTGGTAAGCTTTGCTTTATACAGAAATCTTCAAAACGCTGACAAGAACATTAAATTCAGAATATGTTCTTGTTCTTCCACAGCATTGATGAGGACTCGCCCAGGATTAACATTGGCTGTTGTGTTAACCTCTTTCCTTTGGTTAGAAAAGTCCTCAGTACTCCCTATGAAGAGTGAGTGATTATGTTGCTTAGTTTTATAATAACGAAAGACTAAAATACATATTTTAAAAAACTGTATTACAGCAGGAAACATAATTAACAGGACTTGTGTGGTATTGATTTGTTTTCTTGTAGGTATCTGATTGTTGGTTTTAAATGGATATGTTCAGTTTTAAAGAACTGGTGGGAAGAACTACAAACAAGTGGTTACAATGGATCAACTCAACCTCTGCTGGATGAGTAAATATTGTTTTGATGATCTTTGCCATATTCAAATAATGACCCTGAAATTCAAAACACAAAAGATTATGTAAAAGAAACAACAGTTAAACAAAAAATATCATAATGAACTTCAATTACTAGAGGAAAAAAATGACTGGATCATTTACTGGGATAAGCTATGATCATGTGATTGAATGCCTTAGTGTTTATCTCCGTTTTAGAAGGAAAGGCAGAGGTGCATTGTAGAGGTTTACTCAATAAATACCTGAGATTAGGAATGGGTTGATTTCAGAATGGACAAAATTTTCCAACACAGTTAGATTCCTTTTAACAAAATGCTGCAGAATGCACCAGAGTGGAAATATTTGTGGAAATATTTCCTGTTCATGAGAATAATATGGACATATAATTTTATCATTTTTAGGCGATTTGACTTTATACATTCAAAGTTATAATTTATATTTATTTCAACAATAATTTCACACTATTTATATGTGTGAAATTAGTGGTTACAGGTCAATAGACCACTTAAAAACTTTCTCTCTTCTTTTCCGTCATAGAAATTTTCAGGTTTTTAACCAGCAACTTTGGGAATTATGGCAACAGGAATCTCTTTTAAAATCTGTTACAGGTCAGGCAGAAGACATGGCCAAAGTAAGGATACATATATTTTTATTAGATCTCTTTTCAGAAATATGTGTTGTTCAGCAATTATATTTCCATCATTTTCCTTCCTCAGGTTGTTGAGTCTTACCTCTTTCAACTTCGCTGACACCAAGGAGGATCAAAATAACTTAATGAAGTAATTAGAAGAAACCTAATAGCTTTTATTCTCTTAAATTAAAATCTTTCAGTTGCATTGCAGATTTTCTGTACTGTATCACTAAGATTTCAGAGCAACAGCGAAGGTACACTAAGGTACTCAATCATTTTAAAAGTAGCCAAATGTTGATTGTATTGTTTCTGTTTAAGTGCCATGGTGAAAAGAATAAAAATGACTTTGAATTTTACATTTATGTTTTGTCCTGTTTTACTTAGACATCATTTATTTTTGGTGTTTCTTAAAACACAAATCTAAAATATATTTTCTTATTGAGAGACTGGAGAAATGATTCTTACTTATGCAAGCACTGTGCTGTAAAATGATCAAATATGGAACTCAACTCGTTTCAACAATTGTTGGGAGGAATGAATGAGTTTTATCCATCTTAATTGATGTAATGCTTAATGCCCAGTTAATTCTATGTATGTTTCTTCAGCAACCATGTAATTCCAGTGCAAAGGGGTGCAGAAATAAACTGTAACTAAGACAAATGGTGATATAGCTTGAATCATAGGTTGGAAAATAAACTCCAGTTCCTAGAAATTCAAATAACATTTTAAACTACCTATCTTTTCTGTAAAACATTCTTCAATGCCATTACTTGGCCAGGTGTACCACAGAGTCATTCTGAACATGCAGCACTTATAAAAGTTCAGCTAATGGCATTGAGAGTCGGATAGACCGTTATAAGACAGCTCTCAGAAATTAGATGAGTTTTGAAACACTCTCTCTTTTGCTTGGCTCATTAAAAGTTTTCTAACATGGACTTTTTGTTGACCATGTTTGTGCCAAATTATATATTTGTTGAAATGTGATTGATCCCAGTTCAGTTAGAGTGATTAGAAAAACTTTGAGATTCTTCCCCAATAGTGTTATAAACCTCATCTGGACTTCAGCCCCATGTGCAATGTTGAAGTGATTGAATTTATGCAATGATATGTGGGTTTATCACACATAGATAAGTGCAGGGGTGGTGTCTGTTTTGTGATGTGAACCAGAGACCAAAGTCCAGGAACAAGTGGGCAGGGGAGAACGATATTTACCAGACTCCCAATCTGAACTCGGCAATCATGTTTGCACTCAGATGGAAGAAGATTTGGGATTAACATTTCTTCGCTGCATTCCTTAACTATAAGGAAGCATTCTTATTTTTAGACAGTTCAAGTAGAGTTTCATTTGAGAATCCTGAAAGAGGTTTCTAAATCTTCTAACTGGATAAGACAACAAGCCTAGTCTATTTGTCAAAGAGTGAAGGATGAAGTGGAGATGCTGGCTGCTGACAGTGGCTACAATGCTGCTCCTCTGTGCAGCTAGAGCTGACATGGAAAACCTCCAAGCTGAGAATCTCAATCTTCTTCCCATAGATGAACACCACAAGGTCTTGAACCGCGGGATGAAAGGTATTTATTTGTTTAGGTTTTCACTATCATTTTGACTTCTCTTATTGTTATTTGTCTTAAGAAGCTAAAGATCTGGATAATTTTACAAATTCTTGGTATAAAGTTGAAGATTTGGCAGAACAACCACACAAGTAGGACTGTTTCCCATAGATGAATCAGCTTTATCACAGATTATCTGTGTTATTGTTGTGGTGGATGGTCAAATTCCAGGTTACAAATGAAATTATTTAGTGACTTATTGGTGATAAGTGTTCTTTTAAGGTAAATTGTATCTCTTAGATGAGATAACTTACCAGACAAACAGTTGCTTTTGAGCAAACTGATGGCTTTTTTGGTTTTGCCTGTTTATCTTAAATAAAATGACTAATTTGACAAACTCTTACAAAGTAGCATATTTACATGCTATAAATTTCAAAGTTAGGTTATTATAAAATTAATGAATTGTCAAAAAAGAATAACTTTGGAAGACGAGAAACTGAGGAAATGCAACTGTGTTGGGAGGAAACACAAGAAATGTAATATGAAGACTAGAGCTAAAAATATTCAACTTAAATCATAAAAAGTAAAACAGAAATAAATTAAATCTAAAAGATAAACATGTTAATATATAACAGAAATACAATCCAGTTTTATAGATATAAATAAAACTTGCTTAAGTTATATAACAAAAGTATTTACTTTTGAAACCCAATTTCTCCTTATATTTTTGCAACTGCACAACTTTGTGCTGGTTTATCACTTAAAATCCTATTAAATACATTGAAATTTGAGGTGTCAAGTAGAGAAATGTAAAAAGCTTTTAGGGCTATTGACTCAGTTGCTATTTTCTCACTTACTTGTATGCTTATTTCTCCACAGTGTTGCCCAGAGACTGCTATGAAATGCTCATGGCCTCTTCAGGAACAGCCAGAGATGGGGTCTACCTGATCAAACCACATGACTCCCCAGTTGTGGCCTATTGTGCCATGCAGGACGGAGGCTGGACCGTGGTTCAGCATATCACTGTCAACAGCAGTTTGGATTTTGATCGCACTTGGGATGAGTACAAGAACGGTTTTGGAGATGTCACGGGAGATCACTGGCTTGGGAACAAGTACCTCTATGAGCTCACTCGAGGCCCTGCCCGCTATAAACTGGGAGTGAAGCTCGTAGACAGAGATGCTGTCACCAAGACGGGAGAGTATGATCCCTTTCAAGTCGAGGATGAATCAACAGGCTACAGGTTGAGGCTGGGGTTATTCCAGGGCTCAGCTGTGGATGCTCTGACCCTAGACACAGAAAATTACCTTCACGACAACCAGAAGTTTACAACTAAAGACAGAGATAATGATAACTATTTCCAAAACTGTGCCAAGCTGGAGTTTCAAGGTGTGCCAGGAGGGGGCTGGTGGTATGATGCTTGTGCTGGTGCAAATTTGAATCGCAGGAATGTCATTTACTGGCAAAAGGACTGCAACAAGGAGAAACTGTGCAAGTACGCATGGATGATGGTGAGACCTTCAGAAACAGTTAAAGTGATTCACAGTGGATACTGCAAGAACGATGAGCTCTAAAGACATTCTCAGAATTTGCATCAAATTTGAGTCTATAAGTAACAACACAGATGGTGACAAATGTGCCTTTGTCGATAATAGGCACTCACATGAATATTTATTTTCTCACATTTTATTAAGAAATACCTTTAACAACAACAAAATACTGTAAGGAACCAGAATATTTTTCACAAACTTGAAGCACAGTAAAAAAAAAATAATAAAAAGGACAAACGTCTGTACAGTGTAGGCTTTACATTTTTCTCCAGTTCACATCCATATGTATTGTCAGAGCAAAGGATATGAGTAATTCCCAAAAATGTAGAAAATTAATTGTGTAAGATAATAGCTTATACTTTAAGAAAATAAACTCAGTGAAAAAAAAATCCCCGCAGTATGTTACAGGTTGGCCAGAAACACAGGAAATATATGATTTAGCAGCATTTTGAATAAAAAGTTGTTCTTAGATCCCAGTGAAAAACCTAATCCTGAGGATGACAGCAATAAAAGATGGTATTCCCCAACCTCCCTCCTACTGTAAACATTTACAATAAAAGCAAGTCATTTACATTGATCTACAAGTTTGTCTTAAAAAGTATCCTCAGTATGACAAGTGGAGCCGAATTTATACTTAATTGTCTGACAAAGCACAGAGACAAGCGTGTAAAGGCTTGTAAAGATCAAGTACAAATGTTAAATGTTCAAACAATAGAACATGTAAAACATTAGCCCTTCAAAATTAAATCTAGCTAGCAAAACAATATTGTTAAAAAGTTATCGGATTTTAGGTTGCCAAATTGCGTCTAGCGGCTAATATGTAACAAAATGCACAGCATGCCTTGATTATGAATCTGATGGGATATGTGGTTTTAATTTTAAACTTATTTACAATGTCACATTTACAGTTTCTCTGAAGTATTTAAGCTTCTCAAACTTTTTCACAATTTGTCACATGACAACCACAAAAAAAAAAAAAAAAAACTTTTTTTGTGGGATTTTATATGACAAGAAGTGCACATAATTGATAATTGTGTCTTGGATTGGATAAGGTTTGATACCTGGTTCTTAAATGGTTATATATACGTATACCTTTATTCAGGTATACATACATCTATAATCACTGTGTTTTACTGTTTTAGTCTTATAAAATATCCAGTGCGTTCAACTGCTATCAAATATCACTTTATTAGTAAATTAGTGTAATTTAATCTCAATATTAACAGAGATGTTCTGAGAAAACCTAGGAGGTTTGTATGATAGTACTGGTGAAGAAATGTTGCTAACAGAAAGCCGTAAGAACATTTCCAGTTTTCCATCAGCCATGTAGGTTGCAGGAGACCGTTGTGGAGAAAAACTAACACCACACATCACCCTGAACACATCATTCCCATGGAGAAACGTGGCCATAGCAGCATTATGCTATGGGGATTAATTATGTTTTTTGGAAGTCGAATGGAGCTAAATATAAGTCAATCCCATTAGTAAACCTATCAGAGACTGCAAAAACAACAAAAAAACAAACAAAACAAAAAAAAAACTTGCTTGGAGCAGAGGTTAATCTTCTGGGAAAACGATGACCCGAAACATGCAACCAGAGTTACAGTTGAATTGTTTAGATCAAGGCATATTTATGGGTTAGAATTTCTAAGTCAAACTACAGATCTAAATCCACAAGAGGCATTTTGGCAAGAATTGAACACTAATGTTCATTGGTACTCTCTTTAACTTTTGTGTTCATTTGAGTGTGCATAAATTTCCATCTCTTGATCTGCATTATTGTTGAAACTTCCTCCAAAAGACTATTATAGCAGCAAATGATGGAAAACAAATGCATGCTATAATTTAGATTATTATTATTATTATTATTATTATTATTATTATTATTATTATTATTATTATTATTTGTTAAAACATTGTCTTTCTGCCTTACCATTGCAAATTGCTTTGTGTCACCTTCCTACAAAACATCCCAATGGAAAACAATGAAGTTTGCAGTTAAATGACAAAATGTGAAAAAGTTTGATGTTTGTAACACACTGGATATAGTCATTCTTTTTGAAGGATTTTAGCAGCAGTTACTCTTTATGACACCAGATGAATTGATTAACACTAACATGTAGAGTCCAAGTTTACAAAGCCAAGATAGTTGGTAAGATCCCAGAACTTAAAACAAAGTCATTCATGTGAGCTTGGAGTTAACTGCAGGGTTCTGTCCATACCAGTACAGTTTCTCCTCAATCCTTTTCTTTTTCCACTGGCAGAGCAGCAGCATGCGGAATGTCTTTTGAAAGTTCTTGTTGCACAGGGCATAGCACATGGGGTTAACGGTGCTGTTGACATAGCACAGCCAGTAGCCCAGGTGCCAGAGGGAGAGTGGGATACAGTCTGAGCAGAAGGTGGAAATCAACACCATGATGTTGTAAGGGGTCCATGTAAGGATGAATGCCAGTAAGATAGCACTGAGAGTCTGAGCTGCCTTCCTCTCTTTGATCAGCACCATCCTTTTTCTCTTGGTGATCTGGCTTTTCAGCGATGTATCTGTAGGCTTGGACACTGAAGAGGTCGAGGGAACGCTCATAGATTCAGCCGAGGAAAACGTTGAGGACACCAACTTGGTGTTTCCGTTTTTGCTCTGGTGAGCATCTTTAGGCACAGGTTTAAACTTATAGGACACACATTTGCTACTCTTCTGAGAGCTGCTTTTGGGACGCCCCTGGAAGAAGCTGTCGTCATCAAAACTGCTGAGCTGCTCACTCTCACTGCCCACAATGATTCTGTTTGCTTCGCAAGCCTGATTCCTGACTGAGGGCTTGCGCCCCACCGGAGACATTGGCCTGTCCTCATCCTCAGAGGAGGCGTAGCTATTGAAGGTGGTCAACTGACCGGCTTTGGACCACTCGTCACTAGTGGATCCAGTGGATTTGGCATGGCTCCTGCTGGAAGATGACCAAGAGGCTTGGTTCTGATCATGTGAAGTTGATCTTAGTTTGCAACTAAAACAGGATCTTATGATGGTCTTCTGAGGCTGTGTCTCTCCAGAGTCCAATTGATAGTTAACCCCCTGAAGTTCCGCCAGATCTTTTGTCCTCTTCTCTGTCTCCTTATAGATCCGACAGTAGAGGATTGTCATAACCGACACAGGAATATAAAAGGCCGCAATTGCTGTCCCGAATGTTATAACAGGCTCAGAGAAAAACTGAATTTGGCATTGCCTTTCAGGAACCGTTCTTTTCCCAACAAAATATTGCCAACAAAGAATAGGTGGGGCCCACAAAATCAGAGACACCAACCAAGCTAAACCTATCATAATTCCAGCTCGTCTAGGAGTCCGTTTGGCCCTGTAAGTGAGAGGCCGAGTGATGGAGAAATATCTGTCAAAACTGATCACAAGCAAGTTCATGACAGAGGCATTACTGGCTACGTAGTCCAATGCTAACCACAGATCACAGGCCAGGTCCCCTAAAGCCCAGTAGCCCATCAGGATGTAAGAGGTGTACAAATTCATGGAAAAAACCCCTATGATGAGGTCTGCTGCTGCCAGACTCAGTAGGTAGTAATTGTTCACTGTCTTCAGTTGACTATTGACTTTAAAGGAGACCATTACAAGAACATTGCCCACAATGGTGATGAGGCTGACAATGGCAGACACAGTCGCGATGGTGATCACCTCCCAAAGACTGTGAGTGACCAGCTGGACGTCTTTTGTAGTGTTATTTCTGCTGAAGTTAACTAGATTTTCTCCTTCCATGGTCTTCTGGATATTACAGGTGTCCATCCATCATAAGCATGTTTGGATCTTCCATGTGAAGCAAAAGCATCTGAAATAAAGAAAAAAAAAAGAAAGGTAACATCTCTGCCTCATAAAGTATACATCAGTTTAATATTGTATCAAATTGTAAAACTTCATATGCTAAGAAAAGGACAAGTTTTATGTTCTACCCATTACTAAAACTATGTTTGAATTTTCTTGGCATGGTTTCCATTGCTATTTCACAGGAGTTTCAAATATCTGTAGGGAGGTATAATGATTTGAATTGATAGACTTGGCTGATTCTGAGATAGTGACATTGAGATATACATTTTTAGCTTGATCAGTGCTATTCAAACTCAAAAATTATATTTTTTTCTAATGGCTGCATATACTATTCATGAGCATTACCAAGTTGCCCAGCAACAACTCTTCGTCATGAATTGTGATGCACAAGAAAATGAGGACTCAAAGTTAGCTATTTTCAAGGTATGTTTGAAATTCATTCAGACTTCTAAAGTGAGCAACAGTCTCAGTAACAGCGACTGATTGCTGAGTAAACAACAAGTTGCTCTGTTTCCTCGTATGGTTTTCAGCTACCAATTGCCATTCTGGTGTGCAGGAGACTCAAAATTCAACACCGTAGAAGCTCAAAATGCTTCGTGACTGATGGAGAAATGTATTGTGTGGATATTGTTATTGCTTTACCCTATTTTAGGGACAGATATCTCGCTATTTTAAGAGAGCCTGAGTCTCTCTAATAATAGAGAGACTCTCTGCTGCCCTCTACTGGTGAAGCATAGGGAAAGGCTTTTTCTGAAGTCCACAAGTGCTTCAGATATCAGCGTCTGTGGGGTTTGCAGTAGAAATGTAAAGAACGGTATGAGAATTGCCATGGAGCTTCATACTTATCTGGCTAAATACTATGAATGGCTCAATCTTTCAAATTATGAAGTCATTAAATATGCTGAAAAATATCCTTTCCCGAAGAGGCTTCTTAAATAGTTATAACATGTCAAAAGAGTCAGTTAAAAAGTTCTTTAAAGTCTCAACTCAACACAAAGACATTCGACTTTGATTAATTTTGTTATGAACAAGTATCAAGAAATTTGTCTCCTAAGAGACAAACAGACAGACAGACAGACAGACAGACAGACAGACAGAGAGATAGATAGATAGATAGATAGATAGATAGATAGATAGATAGATAGATACATAGATAGATAGATAGATAGATAGATAGATAGATAGATAGATAGATAGATAGATAGATTTCATCACCATTTTTGGGTGGAAAAAAATTATCATATGACGCCTTTTACTATTTCTTACCAGTAGAGGGCAGCAGAGACCCTCTAACAAAACCTCAAGCACGTGAATGTGAAGTCTGAAGTTTTCTTGCAATAGTGAGCCATTTATTCCTCACTGGATACATCTTTTGGAGACAAGCCAGCTAGACAGCATATGGTTCTAAGTTTGCACATTAAATTTAATTATGTAAAATCAAATTATAGTGCCATGATTATGAAGGTTGTTACAGGTTTTAAAGCAGCATCACTTTCCTAGCAAATGTAAAAAAAAATCGAATGAGAATAAAAACAGAGTGCAACAACGTGCTTAACTGGACCATAACGCCACTTAAGTTAATGAACTGTTATATGTATCTGCCTTTTCCAAGCATGTTTTCCACTCCCTCACAAAAATCTCAAGCCAACTGGTCGAATGGAGTCATGATTTTGAGCCCTGTCTCTCAATCTTCCTAAAATGAGAAACTTCCATTTGTCATATTCCGACTCAGACTCTGTATGTTGTGTGTGACCTTCCCAGTTCCAAAATGGTTGAAAATGAACCATGCAACAGTTTACCGTCAGGATATTGAAGGCTCCCTGAGGCTCTCAAATTGGATGAATAATGAGCCCAAGCTTGATAGACAAAATGGTAAAAAGAAAAAAAAAAAAAAACCCACATAACTCTGTGTGGGTTGAAGCAATTGAATTTTCAGCCGGTCGGTCACTCAGAGTACTGACACACATTTAGGCACTGATAGCTTCTCACATTATTCCCTTAGCGGTCAACAAATAGCACCACGCTGGAGAAATTGGCTGTGTAAAAACAGACATTCATTTCCTTGTTGACCAACAGTGTCCTCTTCCATTTCAAACCGACCTGCCTTGTTTGGGGTTTTTAATCAAAATGCTACAATAGAAAATTGTATATCAGGATGGTTAAATGCTCTCTGAGGTACTAAACAGAATAGGTTTTTGAAAATAACACAAGTTGTCATAGTCTGGTATTTGTTGCAAGAAGGAAACATTTGTATGCGAAGCAATGCCTATCAAAAATACTTATGTGAAATCTTTCACATTTGGTCACACAACCACAAATCTCAGTGTGTTTTATTGGGATTTTCAATGATAGATCAATGGAACCTAGCCCTTAACTGTAAAGTGCAATCAAAATGATGCATGTTTTACAACTAAGAGTATGCTATATATGTGGATTCAGTAGCTCGATATTCTAACATGAAATACAACATAATCGAACTGCCCAGCTTATCCAAGAGGCCCATAAAGCTGCAAGTGGAAGAATCTATTAACAGGCCAAGTGTTAAGTTTGATTCCCATACAAGCCATCTATATAACAGCAGCAAGACAAAAAAAATATTGCTACATAGAAGCCAGTAAGGTTTGCCACAAACTACATAGGGGAAGTGGTAAAAGAAGCTAATCTTGACAGATGAGAGCAAATAGATTTTTTAGCCCACATGCAAAGCGGAAAATGTAACTTACACTGCACATTCTCTTGAGCACATCATCCCCATTGTGGAAGATTTTGGTGATAACAACTTGCCACATGAATGCTTTTCTACAGCAGGGACAGGGAAGATGCTTTGAGTTGATGGAAAGTTTTTTTTAGACATTTCACACTTGAAACTGTAATTGCAGTGTAAGGGGGTTTGTATGAAATGTTGAATTGATCAAATAGAGATGCACGAGGAAGGAAGACCTGCCTTAACAGCCCTCTTAATTTAAGAGCCCAAAGCAATGGCTGTAATCAAAACCTATTACTTGAGAAATACCTGCTTTCAAAAGCTTTGCTTTAACAGTGCAAGGTCAGCATTCCCTCAGCCATCCAGGAGGCACACAAATAACATTCCAGTATTGTGACGTGCTGTGTGCAAAAGTTTACCTCATGAAATGAGCACAAAAAATGCACATTGAGAGTTACATTTTATTATTCTTTGTCAGATCTGGTTTTTATTAGAAATCTCTCAAACTTTGAGCGAGAAAGACCTTAAATGGCTCATTCTGAATTGATGTTGCACATAAATATAAGAAACAATTATGCAACCAAGAAACAAACAGTGAGAAGAAAATGATACAACAGTTTTATCTTTCTAAACCAGCACCACGGACAGCACCATGAGTCTGAAAAGTATTTACTGGGTCAGGAAGGTGTGAGGATTATATTCAGCTGAGCAACCTGTGACCTTGAAGCCTTGGAAGGTATGTGAATGGCTAAAAAGCTAAAATAATTACATAAAGAATTAAATCATTTCAACTTACAACAGTAATATTACCCCCCCTCATCGTTTGTCTTACCAAAAGTAATCCTCTGGTTTTGGAGACAGCGGTCTCACCTGGCTGAGCCCACTGAATCAAAAACGCCAGGGACAATTTTACAGATATAATTACAACAAAGGATTGGGCGATTCCTCTGTTGCTCCAGTGTGGACTTTCTTTTACTCCATTTTTGTTCCTGAAAGATGATCTATCAGTGTGAAAAATAAAATTTAAGGAATGACATGAAGCTCCAAATAAAGCACAATACATTTCATTTAATGTTTATTGCCACATTATGCTGTGAGAATGATTCACTTCAGCCGGGACAAAGAATTGGTCAGAGTTGATTGGAAGGTGGAGCAAAATAGAGAGCAATCCCTGAAAAAACCTGAAAAATCCTGTTTAGCAATACTTACAATGGGGGTAGAGGTTCCATACAATAAACATACACTCTGAGCAACAAAAATATTTTTGAACATTAATTACCAAATTATTAATAATGACTACCAGCTCACTTAATAGATTTAGAAGGACCACCATATTGTCAAACTTTTTTCATAAAGTAACAAAAAATAAATAAATAATAATAATAATAATAAATTCTTATCCTTGCCGCTTGTTGAAAGAAAAAAGTTTCCAAGCTTACTTGTATTTCTGGAAGTTTGTGTCATCAAATATTTTCAAAACATAGTTTTTACAACCTCATTTTTTTTCCATATATTCCTTTAGAGTTTGAATGCATTTAATTAAGAGATACACTCTCCCCTCAACTTCTAGTAGTCATAATAATTTATCTAATCATTGAGTACAAAAAAATAACTTAATGATTTACAAATAGAACAAAGTTAAGTTAGGTTGGTCATATCCATGTTCTGATTTTAGATGCAAATAGATCGATGCATCCCAAACCACTGCCCAACCCTTTTTTTATCTCAAAGGGAATCTGGGAACTTTTTTTCCATTGATGGTAACTTGTTTTGGAAAACTGATGTTTATAAACACATAAATGTAGTATGAGTGAGCAAAAACAAAATATGCAAAATTAGGTTAAAAAACCCCCCAAAAAGTCCAAATTTTCCACACAAAAAAAAATAAATAAATAAAATAAAATACACAAATAGACTTGTTTTAAAAACTGTGAATCATTACAATTTTTAAGCCATGTTATTAAGCTATTTTAAACTACTATATGTTGCTCTATATAATGTAAAATTCTCATAAAATATATTTGAGTCGATGGTTGTGTCATCACAAATTTGGAAAAATTTTAAGTGATGCAAGTATTTTCTTCTGTAAACCATGACAATATGTCTAGAAAATCGAGCATACGCAGAACTTTAAAGGTATGCGAAAGATCGTAGCAGCATAGAGAAAGCTGTGCAAAGTTTTTTTTCATGAGCAATTTCACAGTTAAAGCACTTGAACTTTTCAGAACATAAACAGGACAGCATAAACAGTGATTATGTCAAATGAAATGTAAAACCGGATTGTTATGAATGTTTCCCAATACACACACATGGACACGCACACTCATGAATAGAATACACAAATGGAAAATCTCTTGAGGTCAAGAGGTGGAACAAGTCAAGTTCACTAATAGCCTCTAAACCAAGACTGAAAGCACTTTAATGGTACGTCTGGAACCCAGAGTACGGACATCTTGATAAATCGTGTATATAGTGTGTTGTGACCCGCTTTTGGGCATTGCTTGGATACTGTTTGGTATCACATATGACAAATTACTGGGGGGAAGGATTCTAACCTTGCGTGGGCAGGAAGAAAAAAAAACTGCAACAGTACTGCCGATAAATTTTCCATGCTCATATTTAGAATCTTCTTGCATAACCGGATTTTAAACTAGTTGAAATGCATTATTCTACTAGAAACAATGTTTTAAACTTGTTGGAATATTGTGCAAGAAAATAACATTGCCCCGGCCAAGAAATCCGAATCTCCCTTATTATATATACATCCTCAGAGTATCAGATGTCCTTCTGAAATACTGTGCTAGCTCGCTATGCATAAGTAATGGTCATTGATCCGTTAGTTAACAGTGTCCTGCTTTTGAGTGAAGACAGGTTGTGTAGCAGAAATCCACGCTGAGTCTTCATGCTCGGGCGCTGAAGGCTGGCTTGAGGTCCTTTGGCACCTGGCCATCACTGCTTCTGTCCTGCAGCTCTGCATGATGGCCCTCACCACATGCTGCTCCCAGTCATCAGTAACCTTTCTGTACACCCCTGCTTTGGTTGTAGCACAGCAGCTCAAGCAGGCCAATACCGTGTGTAGTTGCAGAATAAAGATGGAAGTGGACGACGACAGAGCAGTGAGTCAAAGCAAAGGAGCCAAGGGATGTCGTGTGTGTCTGCGCAGTGATTATGGATGGTTTTCAAATCAGTCCACAGCTCCTTGGCACACTGGTTGGTGTTTACTGCAGTCAGCCCACTGACCCATGATTAACATCCCAGCATATGTAGCTTTCTGGAAAAAAATATATTCCTTGAATCAGTTTTGGTTTGGGTTCAGTCTTTCACCGAAGCAGAAGAGAAAGAGGAGTATAGGCATTAAAAGCTCTTGAAATATTATTGCTGATAGCAAAGAACTGAATGATGGTCTCACCTTGTTCCTGCCCTGTCCTAAAATGCCTCAAGTGTTCTTCACAAAAATATGCGTAATTAGTAGTCTTAGGTTTTTATAACAATCTTTTCAGATAATATACATACATTTTAATTCAATTACAGGATGGAGTATTTTTATGACCATCTAACCCAGTAATTCATGAAAATAATCAACTTCAATGAAATATATACTGGTTTAGTCCATGGACAGGAAAGGCATCTTGTTCAAGTTGTCAGATGGTAATGTGTAGAAATTGGTGAACGGGAAAGTTGAACCATGGATTGTTTTTTTTTTTGTTTTTGTTTTTGGTTTTTTTATTTTAGTTTAGGAGCCTGGAGAACAAATTGCTCAAAGTGAGTCTAAATTGACACATTTAGTTAAATTTGATTTTGTAAAACTAATTCATGCTTCCAGAACCAACAATCAACGGGTTGTTGATTGTTGGTCTCTCTCCACCATATTTCAGAAAACGTTTTATTGAACTGCTGTGTCACAACCCAACTCTCCTGAGGGTCAAGGTGTTGACAGGTGTATTAAAACAAACAAACAAACAAACAAACAAACAAACAAAAAAACAAGACCATTGAATGCTAATAAATGATGTTTATGTGTTACACATGCAATTTTACTCATCCCAAATAGCTCTTCATTTTCGTTTTGACTTACCATCCACACAGCAGTTTTTTCACTGGTTGTCTTTTCAGTTTACTTTTGAAGTGCTATGTTGTCCTGTCTTCTAATCTGTCATGTCTTTAGTGCTCTGTGCACTGTGCAATGGCATTAAAGGAATTCACTCTTTCTGTAAAAATCATATCTGGGTTTAAGTGTTTCATCTTAGCTATGATTTTTAAGACAAAAGTAAACTCAAAGTAGATCTAACCTGCAATGAGAAATGATGAACAGGATCATTAGGTGAGTAATATGATCCGCTTATGTAGCCCACAGTGGATTTGGCAGCTGCTGAAGGGAATAAAGCGATAACACGGAAAGCCTCTGGGAGTTATGTTTTCAAAGCATCTACAACCTTTCATAAATGCCTCTTCATTTCAGTAATGACATGGCAATAAAACCATTTGTGTTCTCACCAAGAATCTTTGAGTTACGAGTCTGTCGGCCATTTTTTTTTTTTTGCTTTTCATGTTACATGTTTTGATGTTGCTACTGAATGGCAGCATTTTTCTGAACTCGTCACATGTGTGCAAGACAAAGCCTTACTGGAAGCCAAACATTTCTCCACCAACACAATCTGGTGATTATTTTTCTAAGCTCACCAAACCATAACTCTGTTGACACGACTACTCCATGGGTTTTATCAGAAGAGACCCAGAACTATTTCCACATTTGTTGCAACACCTCATAGGATCCGTGGGGACTGGGAAGGACTCGTTAAAATCACGCTTCACTGCTTAATCCCCCTCTGTATTGTCATTTCCAGTTAATCAAAAGGCAGGACAGGAATGGTTGTGAGACGTGGCTGTTTCAAATATGTATTGATTGCTTTTTTGTAAAAAAAAAAAAAAAAAAAAAAAAAAAAAATTAAACAAATAAAAAAAAAATACAGAAAATTCTGGAAAGAAAAGTTTGGAATTTTACACAAAAGGTTGAGGAAAAATACAAGAAGGAATATTACAGAACTTTAAAACTATGTGTTCTATTTCAGATTAATAATCTTTATAGAAATATGCAACTGCTGGATGAAGATTAACACAGAAGTTGAGTGATTACATCAGCGAAAAAAAAGAGATACATTTCAGAAATAAAATGCACATGTTGTTTCCAAACTTTTCCAAGTGCACCTTTGCTTTTCCCAGTAATTTATACTTATTACAATAAAAATGTGAAGTGCTTGAGCAGCAATTTGCAATTTGGTGAATGATAAGTCATTAAGTAAACAAAAAAAAAAACAAAAAAAAAAAAACAATGCACACACATCTTTTCAGGAGCACATCTTCTGTTTTGTTCATTAGGGTTAAAAGGCTTCATTAAAAATACATCTCCTCTCAGACATGCCCTTGTGCACACATGACGTCTTTTCCCCTTGAATTCAGGTCATGCCTTTGTGCATTAATCAAAAAGCGCACGTTTAATCAGTCATGATTCTCTTGAGACTGAGCAAGCCACCGGTGTAAAAAAAAAAAAAAAAAAAAAAAAAAAAAAAAGAAGACACAAAAGGAGAAATATACTCACTTTGATCAAGTCTCACTGTTGTCTGTCCAAGGGAGCAAAGTTCACAGTTAATCCCTTTGTTTTGCCTGGGAAGCCTTTGGGTCAGTTGTGGCACCGAGGAACAGGATCATAACACAGCTGAAGAGAACTCTGGTGGCAGAAAAATCCTGCTGACTTGACCCTTGCATGCCAAAGGGATCCGGAGGGGAAAGTCTGAACAGAGAGGGAGAGAAGAAACCATCTGAAGGGCAGGGTGGACAGCGAAACGCTTTGGGCATCCCTGCGTAAGGAGAGCACTCTCCAAAGAGCTCCAAAAAAGTCTCCTCTAAAAGCAAAGCTGCCTTCCTTTCTCATTCATGAATTTGAAACAAATCTGCACTGAAGCCAAAAAATTAGCAAAACAGAACTTTTTCTTGAAGAGCAAGCAGAGCGAGATGCGCTGTGCTCCCTCTCCGGCGAGTTAAAGCAGAATGACACAGAGAGGCAGCTTGATGTCGGAGCCAAGTCGCGGCTGCTGCCACTATGCTGCCGCTGCTGGAACTACTCAGGCTGACAGACACAGATGTAGCTGACGCTAGCAAGCTGGGAGGAGAAATTCCCATAGGGGTGAATGGTTCATCATGTTTCGGCACAGTGAGCAGGCATTGTGGACTCCAGAGGGTGGACGGGGCAATGGGGGCTGGGGTGGCTTCAAGGAGTCCATTTTGGAAGGTTTGAGGGCAGAAGAAGGAGTAGCGCTGTGGATTAGCAGCTGAGCTGAATGTTGGATAGTGTTTTTACTTACAAAAAGAAGTGCAAAAAGTTACCTTGATTGTAATCTGTCACCGTTTGACTGAAGCTCAAGCTCTGCTGATCATAGAACACATTCATCAGTCCTATGCTGATGTTGTCTATGAACCCACATGGGAAAAAGCTGACATGGCTGGGCCAGATAAGCAGCATGCAGATGTGACAGATGTTTTCTTTCTATAGCACTCTGTGTGATTGTGTGTGTGTGTGTGTGTGTGTGTGTGTCTGTGTGTGTGTCTTTAAACGTGTGCACACAAGTCTGCTTGGGTGCGAAGTGTGTTTTAATCTGGATGAGGGGTGCTGATCTGTTCCAGGAGTTCTCATTTAAGGCGACAGAGACAAACATTTGCAGAACCAGGCTGCTGTCAACACATATCTAAATTTATTTATGAATTTAGAGAGACCAATCAATCTAGCAGTCATGTTTTTTGAGCTGGAGAACCCAGAGAGAACCCACACAGGCAAATCCATGCTTCAAAATATAGACTTTCTTTTCAGATAAATTTGTAATTAATTTGTACAGGTTCATGTTAACAACAGGATGATCATTCCTCATTATATTGTCAGTTTTCTGAAGTACACCAGTCCCTCTTGCAGCAAAGCACTCAGCACCCAGCATGATGCTGCCACCCTCTCTGCTTCACATCTGGCTGTGACGTGCAGTGAGGTTCATGGATGGTGAGGCACTGATTCATCTGGAGTTGTAGAGCTCCAGTAGTGCTCCCTTCATTAGTCTGAGAATATAAAAACAATTAATTTAGATGGTTTTTTTTTTATTAACTATTCTTTAAGAAGCAATATTTGAAATGATCTAAACAGAAGATTTTTTGTGAGAAGGTATATTTCAATATTTTATTTATTTGACATCAGCCAAAGATTATGTCCATTTTTGTTATGCTTGACGATTTCAGTTTAAAATATGTCTCTTATTCACCCGTAGCAGTTGTAGGTTTGATGACCTGTTAAACTTTTAAAAAATAACCTTTTGAAATCTCCAGAACCCATTCAATGGTACCATCAAAAATTAAAGATTGACATATGAAAAATTTTACATTGAAAGGATTTTTCACACATCGCCCATCCCTGAGATAAAGACGCTACGGTTAAAATAATCCGATGTATTTTCTCACCTCGAGTATGAAACTGCTCTGGGAGTACTAAAGCCTGGTCAGTGGACAAAATACACATGCATCATAGCCACCAACATTTGTCATAATGCAACAGCCTGTCTGAAATGATTTTGCTTGTTAGATTAAATCTATATGTTTGTGGGCTCACGATTAAAGCCTGACATGAAAATCCCAGCTAAATCTGTTCCCAGCACATCTGTTCCACAGAGTGTCGTATGTCGCTGTTGCCTTCCACTCTCCCCCGACCCCCACACACACACCCACCAGGCCTGACCTGCTGATCTGAAGTCATTTCCAGGCAGCAGGCCAGAGGACAGACACCTGGCTCATCGTTGTTGTTGAACTGCTGACCTGCTCACACTTTATAGTGCTGCTGCATTGTTTTATGTAACACATCTGCACACTAACACATAGACATGAATGGAGTTGCGCACGTACAAGCAGTGCTGCTTCGGATGCTTCATCATATCGATTTGGCTTGTAGAAATTTTAGAAGCTATGAAAGGCTCATGCATTTTTTACTCACTAACGATATATGAAAATGGACTTAATCAGCTCCTCTAATAGGTGATATTGAACAATTAGGACACTTAAAACGGTTTTATGAGACACTTCACTGAGCTAGTCATCTCAGTGGAATTTTCCAAAATCAAACTACAATGACAGATATACAGATTATACAATGACGAAGAGATCGGGTCTCTTCCCCCGACCTAAGATTTCAGCCATCTTCCTTTATCAATCTTGTGTGTCCTAAAGGCATACTTGTTTTTGCACAGGTCCCTGTCAGATTCTCGAATGCCTGTGAGTGAGACAAGATGAGTTCGGACATAAGCACAGCTAGAGACGGATTGCATCTGTCTAAAGTCCACAGGGGCTTGCTTATCCTCTGACCCAGTTGTGCACCCATTCTCCAGCAAAAAAAAAAAACAATCTGCTTTATTACTGTAACGCTGTAACGGTAAAAGTTTATTTTAGAGCTCCGTATTGGAAACCAAGCAAAATCATACATATGTTAAAGCGAATTAATTACCCAATTTAGAGTTTACTTGAATCAGTATAAACAGAAGATATCCATGATCAATAGTTCACTTTTAATTCTCCTGTCCACTGGGTTATGTCTCACCACGCTGGCTAAAAGCTTCGAGTCTTGTTATGTCCTTCCCTCTACGAGTCTTTAATGTGCTGCAAATGTTTATTTCCCATCAGGCCACCTTGGCTTGTGTGTGTTTGTGTGTCTCTCTGGTACCGAGCAGCAACTCCTTTTTGACATAATGATTTGCCATCACTCTCTACCGTTTCAGAGGATTTACAAGTCCCCCTGCTGTGTGGCTTGCTTTTATCCCCTAGTATTGCAGGCAGCCCTGTTTGCTCTCATAAGACTAAAAAAAAAAAAAAAAAAAAATTGCAGTGTTTTCTTGTTTTTAAGTCTTTTGCTGCACATAAACTGTTCTTTAAGCTTTTAAACGTTATTTTAAACAGATTGCAGCAAGTTTCATTTGAGCCATAAGCAATTACAATGAGATTCTAAAAAGGGTGACTGCAATGTTTTGAACGCACCATTCAGCTGGTGCTGGGTTGCACATTAGCCTTTTCGTCACACAATGCAACTTTAATGCTTCCTTGTCAGAGAAGATTAGCTTGTAGGCAGTTCCTATAGGGCTGCCTTGATGAACTGCTGGTTTCTATTCCTTTTAAGACACCCTACACTCACCAGCCAAACCTCTTATGCATGTGCACATGATAAAGTGCAGTTTGTGTATTTTTAAATTCTAGCCCATAAATTCTTGTCACAAACATTGGCAGCTAAACTTGGATGTCTTCAGTAATGACAACAACAACAAAAAATAGTTAAATATTAAAGTTTTTTGGTGCCTTCGATTGGGTTTTTCTACAATAATATGAATGTGACTAACATTAGACGGTTATCCCTGTATAGAGAAGGAGAGGGAACAGTTCCTTCTCCAGCCACAGTAAAAAAATATTTCCCCTTAGTCAATATGTACCCTCATTTTGTACCCATGTGTTACCATTTTGTCCTCTTCAATTTGCAACCAAAAAGGCCTGGCACCTAAAATGTAAAACACTGAACAGCTGAAATGACAAGCGCCCTCATGCATGTCTCAGTTAGATGTTTTCTCTTGGATAGTAAATAACCTGATACAATCCAAAATAAGGCAAAGGCATTATGGTATTAAAGTACAATTTTGTTGTAATATGGACATTTCTTGTGGACAAGTTCCCAAGTTTGAGAGGCTTCTGTTGCAAAAGTTATTTTATTTTATTTTTTTTTGTTGTTGTTGTTGGACTCCAGGTTCTGTGTTTTTAATGCAGGAATAAACTTTTCATATGTCAAAATATGCAAGATAATATCTAAGATTATAAGGTGATATCTTGCTTTCAGGAGTAAAATACATGACTAGCGGGGAGGCAAAGAATGTGGAGTGCTTAGAGATGAAATGCACACGCAACATGAGAGTCAAAATGTAGGAAGAGGCTGTGATGTTGTTTTTGACCGACTCCTTGGCAACACAAACTTTTGTATCCACTCCACAGCTGCTCTAAATACCCCGTGATTACCTCACATGCTACAAATCCATTCTCCATGTGTTCCCATGTATGCAGCCCTCTTGTTGTTATTGTTCTTTACTGGTTCCCCCCTTTACTTTGACTGTGCTCCGTAAAGGTGGCGACAAACTTCATCTGAAGCTGAACAGCCAACGTGCAGTGACATGGTTTCGGTTTCGGGACACCCCTCCCACTTTATGATACGTCACGCCCCTCCCACCGTGCATCCTCTGTTTTGCTTTGTGGAAATGGTCACAGAGAACGCCTCACTTTTCTGCAGCCTCCTCTGTGAACAAAATTATGTACATAATTCCTCATCACGACAGATAAATATTTCTCAAAAGTATCCATGTGTCCCAGTTACAAAAGACTGTGGAAGCAGACTAGTTAAAGACAAATATCAAATACTATTGTCTCAGTGCATTTCCACAAAACCACAGCAACAAACTTCTGACTAATCGGATAAAACTTCACACAGAGCTCTGTCGAAATAGTTCGATCAGGGCCTGATGTCAGGCGGATGCCTCTCTGCGAACAAACTGAAGCAATATTCGTCATGCGTCTACGTCAGTCAGAAACGATTTTGGCATTTTGCATAAAGTATGTCAGGGCCTTTCCTCTCCTTGCCACTGTCAGTCTCTCTGCTTGGATCAACTACAAAGCCCATCTTATCTGGCCTTGTCTGGAATCTGTGTCCATGTTCAAACTTGAACAGCAGAAGTCACATGCTGAGTTGAAAATAAATCTCCGCGTTACCAGTAAATTCAATATATTTATATTAAAGTATTTGACATACTTTATGTTCCTGGTTAACTTGAACATATGGGGCAGTGAATAAAAGCTGAGGGTCGGTGTTAAGTGCTGCAAAGATACAGATGGGTGCACTGATTCAAGAAAATAAGACGAAAGCACAGCTGCATTCCATGTTATCTTTTGTTTTATGTCACAGGCTCAATCATGGCCCATGTCCTTGTTTACTCAGGTATGTGTGACATCCGTATGCACTCATATGCATACTGACGCAGATGCTAATGGGGACACATAGAACAAGATGTCCAGGCTTCCCTTATCAGGGTGGTCATTGACCAGTCACCATTCATTTGAATTATTAGTCACCAAAACCGAATGTCAAGGCTGCAGATATAAGCTGCCAGTGCCGCAAATCGT